TCTCAGAGTGGGACCCACACAGAGCTCATCCCTTTAGGCAAAAGGATGGGTCTCTGCATAAGTTGGGCAGCTTCAGTCAGGCAGATTTATATCTTAATTAATTCAGGGGCATCAAATTCCCTCCCCAGCTTCTTTTTCTTTTTTCTGCTTTTATACAAGTGGGGCAGATTTGGGAAAGCTGAGGTATCAAAATGAATGAGTGTTCTATAATTCACAAGTCACAGTCAACACACACTCCACAAATAAAAGCCTCAGAAAGGTTTTTATCGGCCTAAATATTGAAACCAAATTTTATTTTTTGAAAATGACATTACACACATCTTGCAAATGTACATTTAGATGAGAAAACAATGAGTAACAAATATTGAGAGCAAAGCTATAAAGTGGACAGGTTCTCTGCTGCATGGCATTGCATTACAAGAATACTCAGACCCGGGATGGTTATTACAAGTAGTAAAAACAGTTCACAACACCTCACAAAAATGGAATTTTTTCCTAGTCAAATCTTCTGACAAAAGGAAAGGGAGAAGAGCCATAGGGAATAGAGGTGTGGATCTAGGTACACTTTGTGATTTTGTGGCACGGCTTTTTGGGGTTTCTTTAAGTCCATTTCTTACAAAATGCATCTTTGTGAGTGACCCCATCTTTTCCAAGACTCTGCCCGTTTTCTGTCCTCCACTGCCAACAGAACCACAGCTAATAAACAAGGAGCCCCTTGTACTCAACTCAGAGCTCGGGAGTGTGGAGAAGGAGCTGTCTACAGACCCCCCCGACAACATAATTCCCGTATCCCATCCCCACCCCCTCGCTGTGTATCCAGGAAAATCAAAAGTGTGTGCAAACTCCGCAAATCAGGGGCCGTGGGACGAGTCCCAGGGACAGCCACCACTGCCAGGAGTGGAGGCCACGGCCAACAGCGCTCGTGCCTCTCTTGCCCCAGCTGCAGTGGCCCAGCAGCACCTCACCCTCCACCAGAGCCAAACTTCCAAAGGCTGGACTCGCTCCCCAGCTCCAGCAGAGTGGGGCACTGATCAGAGGGGACTGATCAGAGGGGATTGATCAGAGGGGATTGATCAGAGGGGACTGATCAGAGGGGACTGATCATCTCCACCTGCTGTACCCTGGAAGTTGGATCTGATCAACGTGCCAAGGCAAGGCACTGCGAGAAGTACGTTCCCCGAGAGAACCTGTTGAGAACTGCTTTTCAAACCTGGTCGGTTATCTTTTTATTTATGCCCAAATCTGTACTTTACAACCACGAGAGAGAGAGAGAGACAAAGAGTAAGAGAGAGGGAGAGAGAGAGAGAGAATCTTTCCAGGAGGAAAGGAAGAGCTAATTAAGAAAAGAGAGGTACAGGACCATGCATTTACTCTCAAGAGCTTGTTCACGAGCAAGCCAACATTTCTAACACTACAACCACTCATCTACATCTGTTTGCTAAGTAACTGAGTTCTACCTACAACTAGAGAGCAGAAGGGGTCTTTTTATTTTCTTCCCCCTCCCTTTAAAATGTCAATAAAAATGTTTTCTGTACAAGTTGAATGGCACAAAAGGTGGTTAAAATGCTAAATAACTCACCACAAATGGAGAATGCAAAATTAGTTCAAAACATGCATGGACTGTGTACAGGTAAGCAAGGAATCATTGGCATAAAGCTGCAATATATTACAAGATGATACAGTTGAGATCTTTTGGAATAACCTCTGCTTGTTCTGTCCCTTTGAAGAGACCTTCACATAAAAATTCAGCATAAAAGGAATTCAAGGTATGTATCCAAGCAGGAAGTTAACTATGGGCAACGTTATCTGTCTGAAGAGAAAAGCATTTCCCCTCCCCTTCCACACACTCCCCCAAGGTACAAAAGTCAACATGATCAGCATTGCTGCAGGCTTGCCAAAAAGAAAGGTTAGACAGGTCTGGGGTAGGAGAACAAAAGCACCATTTAAATTAATAGCTCTTTGTACAATGTCATTAATTAAATACCTTATTCTTTAAACAAAAACATCCTGAAGTTTACCAATCCCACCAAAATAACCACGGACCCCTTCCCACCCCCGTGTCCTCCAAGGTTATGTACACAGAGTTTAAAGTATACCAGCTAAACTTTAAACCCAGCTGCCCCTCCAACCCCCACCCTCTGAACAACAAGAGAAAAATGAAAGTGGCCTCTCAGTTATATTATATTGCAGCTTTGTTGTTAATGAGGAAATCACACAAACTTGATGAATGGCCTAAGACAGTAATCCATGATCAGGTTCCAGGTCAGCTGCAGCTCTCCCTCCCTAATCCATTGTCAGGTTCCAGGTCACATCTCCCCCCTCAGCACCCCTGGGAGCTGCAGGGTCCTGAGCAAAGGCAGCTCCTGCTCTCCACACCAGAGCAGTGAGCAGCTCAGGCTGAGGGCATGGGAGCTGCTCACCTCAGCTTGGGACAGGATTTGTAACTGAGAAAGCAGACCAAGGCTAGTGACAGCAAAGCCAGCAGGCTGATCCTCCTTTCCTGTGCTTCCAGGCTAGACAGTGTCACAAAATCTAGAGAATTATGGAGGGGAATGTGTCATCTCAGAGAATAGATTGGCTAGACAGGTTTTCTCTTTCCAAAAGACCCTGTGTGTCTTCTAATTGCTAATCACAGCTGTACTAGGACTGCCACGGTGCAAAAGCTGCTTGGATCACCCATCATTCTAATAAGAAGCAAACTAACAACAATTTCACATGTCAGAATTTAGCATGTAATTGTAACTCACAGGCTTCCTTGTTCTTACATTCAATGCTCCTGCTTCACCATATCTAAAAACACCAATTAGCAGTGCAATTAATTCCCCAGATATTCTTCTTTTTAGGCAGATGCATCTTTAGACATCACACTAAATCTGGAAAAAACTCCTTTGTCTTAAAGAGAGGGAGAGAAAGGAAAAAAAGCAACCCCCCCTTTGACTGTATGGTCAGCTTGAGAGGGAAACACAATATCACAGGATTTCACCTGCCACCTGCTAAGGAAAGTGAATGACAAGTCCATCCATATGTGCTCTGCAATGGTTGGAAGCAGATGGAGAAAAGCAGCCATGCTGTAATTAAAAAAAAAAAATACTCCCCCAACATAACCCCAAAACCCAAACAACAATAAAAATTAACCCCATGAAATGTTTCTCAGGGATTCTCTGAAAATAAAAATTTTCATGTTGAGAACTGGGCCTGGGCCCAAGGTTGGGATCCATTTGGTTCCTTACAGGTATTTCCTAAGTCTGACCCTGTGCATGGGTTTCCAGAGTTTGGTTCTGGCTCTCCCTGACCAGCTGCCACCACCGTGTTCCATCCTGACTGCACGTGCCAGGTGAGTCCCTGTCCTCTGCAACAAACCCCACTCTGCAAATGTGACTCCAATTTAGCTCCATTTCCTGTATGTAACTCTTGCAATGAGAGATGGAAGAACCAGCTTGGATAAAACTCAAAAGCAGCCTTGAGTTTAGATGAGTCACCTAAAATGAACCTTTCTTTTTATTCCAGAGACACTTGGCAATGCTTTTCTCTAAAAACCAAGCCAACCTTAAATCTCTATTCTGCCTGGTACTAGAGTAGAAAAATATTGGTAGAAATAGAAATACTACTTCTAGTTCCATAAACCTGCTGGGCTCAGGGCATGTCTGTTGGTAGGCTGAGTGAGAGTAAAGTGATATAAAGTCAACACTCTTTAGAAGCAAAAAATATAGAGGAGGCCCTGATTTGCTGAGGTTCCTTGTTTAATTTTCGATTCTAGAACTTTTAAGGTATTTCAACAAACTATTTCAGCTTTATCATTAACTATAATTAAACTACACAAAATATCTCCCACCTCTAACTTGCTATTCGAGGTCCATACAAGAGATCACTTTATAACTGGGGTCAGTGAGGTTTCCTCTGCAAAGGCTGCAGCTGTCACCCAGGAAACTGAATCTGCACTCAAGTAATCAATCACACAAGAATTATCAACAGTAATCAATCTTTGAAATAGGAGACCAACCTTGGACCAAATAGATTCATAAATTAATTACAGAGGAGCTTCTGCCTGGTTAAAGCAGCAGAAAATTAGGTGTATTGGGTTCCATTTGCATTATATTAAGTGTTTTAAAATTTATGGAAATAAAAGAGATGCAATCTTTATGCAACAAAAAAAAAAATCTGAGACTATACAACAAAAAAAGTGTTTGGATAAGTCAGTTATTTTGCGGTTTAGAATTAAATTCACAAGCACTGTAACTCAACTGAATTTAGGATAAAGATCTCATGAGAAAACCAGTGTTAAACACAGATGCCCTTGTTCAGCACGGACTTCCCATTGCTGTGGTGGCTCAGCAGCTCTCACACAGGGGCTGGGCTATTCCTGGGCAAGGTCAGCCTCAGCCCTGTGCCCACACAGCAAACCCAGCAAACCTCCCCGAGGAGTCTGTCCTGCTTTTCACCCTGGCTGCCAGAGTTTGCTGAACTCTGTGGGAAGGGCTGGGAGGCTCTGAGGTGCCCTCATTATTCTCCCGCATTCCCAGAGTGCCAGGTTGGTGCTGATCAATGATTTCTGATCTGCTATTTCTGATCTGACACAGGCAGGAGTGCAAATAAACCCAACCCACAACTTGGTGCTGCCCTTCAGCCCAGGGCTGGATCTTCCCTTGAGGGAAGGCTCTGCTGGCAGGAGAGGAGCTCACACCAGCTTCTCCTGCCTGCAGCCAGGTTTGGCCTTATTTCTGCCGAGGGGAGAGGGACAGACAGTGCTGTGGACAGACACTACCCCTGGCCCAGGCACCTGCAGGGACAGTGACTCTCAGCAAACAGCCACGAGCTGCTGCTGCTCCTCTGTCCAAGCCAAGCCACACATCCTCAGTTAGCCCCAGCCTCCTTCTTTGTTTGTCCTCGGAATTTCTTGGCTTTTGTCTTTCATTATTCCCACACATCAGTGGCACTGACATGTCCTGTGCTGTGCCTCGTGGTCTCCTTGCCATTGGGTTTTCTCTGAGGCTCCAGCTCATTTCATGACTCAGTACCTACCCCTACCTCCTAACAAACATCCCCCACCATTCCTCTAATGGCTTTTCCCTTCATTTCCTGTGTTTTCCATCCTGGCATCTTTCCCTGATGATGCCAACTTTCTTTTCTTCAGCTGACAGATTAACTACTGCCAAGATTTGTTAATTCCCTTTGGGCATCCTCCTTTTTCTTCAGTTTGAATGATAAACTGTCAGACCTAGAAACTTCCAAACTGGCTCAAGTGTCCTGAGTTCATGGAGATAAAGAGCAAGAGTCACAAGAATTGAATGAGTTCAAGTGCACTAAGCAAGGACACTGCAAGGCAGCTCTCTCCCATGTAGACATCTGGCCATGAACACTTTCTAAACAAGGTTTTCAACACCTGGCCCACTGTTTTCTTGGTAGAAAGCCACTGAAGTAATTAGATTTATTCACTGTTTGTAAACACAAGGTCCATATTTTGACTACTAGCACGAATTGTCCCTGATATGTACATCTAACAAAAAGAGGGGCAGTGGGAGCTGTATTTAGGCTGCTGGATCAGGGTATGATTGATGAAGGTATTTCCTTCCTCCCAGGGATGTTGCTGGCTCCCCCATGGTTTCAATGGGGAACTAAAAATGAGATGTCTGTCTTTCACCATGACTGAAATATTTAAGCATTTTTACAGCAGAGTTTTGAGAGAGCCAGATGTCTGTGAGAGACTTGCCAGAGATACAGTTTGCTCCTGTACAGTGTTCAGACTTTGCTGAGCAATGAATACATTTTAAAACCAAGCTCTTTGTATCAGCTTATCTCAAAGCACTCTACAGGTGGAGGGAAACTGGGACCAGCCCTCTGTGCACTGGAACAAGGAGAAGTGATCTGTCCAGAGCTGTGCCACACCCCAACAGCTCTGAAACCCCAATGGCTCTGAAACCTCACTGCTGAATCCACTAGGTTTGATTCTCATTTGCTCAGAAGCTCATATATTGGCCAAAAATAGGTGTTGATGTGTTTAACCTCCTCTAAGCAGTGTCCCAAGGGTTGGACAGTGGTCTGTGACCCCCAAACCTCCCATTTTCACCTGCAGGTGTAGTACTCACACCATGGCCTGCAGCTGGGATCCTGTCAGAGCAGCTGTGCAATGGGATTGCTGGGAAAAGCCTTTCCATCCACCTACTTCTATTCCCTGAAAATCTCCCCTCTCCCATTTAAACCTGTGGGTTTGTCAGCTTGGCCTCAGACCTTCAATCATCACTGACTAGAACTGTTCCAGAGGAAACAAAACAAAACAAAGAGGGGTCTATCCACTGCTGCTCCCAGCCTTTCACCTGCAGGCACCAGGAGAAAGCAGCTCTTAAGCCAGGGGCAGAGGAGGAGGATGAAGAACATCTGAACAGCAGAATCAACCACCACTGCAGCAAACCCAGCCCTGTTCACTCCACACTGAGGAGCAGCTGTGACACACAAGACTCAGCTTTAACATTTCCTGAGATACTGTGGAGAGGCTCAGATTCATGCAGATCACAGAGGCATCAGCCAGAAGAAATCTGTGGCTCTGGAGACAACAATTTTCAAGAGATGGGCTAAATACCTCAAGAATTAAAGTGTGCCTTGTCTCCTTTGGTCAAGGCCATTGAACCCTAGGCCTTGCTGGGCACATGCACAGTCCTGCTTCTGAAGCCCAAGGGCTGTTAGAAGGCACTTAAAGTCTTCACCTTCCTGCTCTCATCATGATGCATCAATCACACCAAGGTGGGGTTTTCAGCTGCATCTCTGCCAGATGTATTGTGGAAAGCACTCGTCCTGTTACAGGGACTGACCTGACTCTTTAGATACACAGAAAAAAGATCCTCATCTTGTGCCATCCATTTGCTTCTACAAAGAACCTCACCAGTCCCAAACGTTGTCCCAGCCTGCTTCCATCAGCAACCAGAAAAATAACCTGGAGCCTAAGTCACCACGTGGAAAAGATGTTTTGTTCCATTGTGGTGGTGATCAGAACCTGGTGTGTGGCAAACACACCCCTACAGAGCTTTTCTCTGGTTATGGATTGTCTTAGCTTGAGGAGACACTTTCTACACTAATTTTATATCTACTTTACTTGGCTATTTTTTTATCCCTTTCTCTAAAAATTACTCTGCCTCTACGACAGTGAAAGAGAACTCTCTGTTGCTTTGCATGGCTGTGGGTCACTGAGGTCAGTGGCAAAATCACTCTCAGCACACTGGGGAAGGCTCTGACTGGAAAATCCACACTGAGCCCCTGCAGAGAAGATGCCACTTCCAGGGATGGCTGTCCCTGGAACAGTGTCTGGGTAGGGATTCAGCCTGGAATCCCAGAGCACTCCCACAGGGTGTGCTGGGAAGCAGCAGGAAGAGCAGCACTGACCTCAAAGGCATGAAAAAGCAAAGACAAGGCATCCTAGAAAATGTTATCCACATGGATAAGGAGAAACTAACACTTTAATGCTCTTGTTTCCCATTGGAAATGCCTGGGTGTAACACTGCTTTGCTGTTTGCCACAATTTTTAGTTCTACCTCCGTTTTTCCCCTTCGAAAGTACTGAACAAGCAAATGAGAGAGAAATAGCAGCTCGACCAAGTGTGGGGTTTTTTGTATGCCTACACGTGTGCTAGTTGAGCATGAGAGAGATGTGGGAGTTGTTTTCTAAGCAGGATTCTTCTATTGTCTATGGAAATAACACAATTAGTGTTTCTAGCTCCTGAGAAGACCAGAAATAATGTGCAGGTATTGGAAACACAGGCAGTGGGAAGAAAAGCTGCTTCCAACTCCCACCACCAAGTGAAATCCCATTATCAAACTCTTTCCAAATCATTTCACGATATTTAGCTGGTGGAACTGAACTAGCTCCAAATTTTATACCAGATGAGGCTTTAAACCAGAAACTTCAGGATTATAAATGCTTTAAGTAATAAAAATCCCAAGGCTGAAGGTTTTGCTGCATTGCTCTCATCTTATACAGTCAAGACCATCACCTGAGTATAAAAATGTTAAACCCCCTCAGTCTGTGTTATTCCTTCTTAATGACTGTCTGAAACAGGGATCTTTATATACAAATTTGCTAAATTATACTGAATAAAGGCAGATTTCAAAGAAACAAAGCCCTGCTACTTTAAGAGTTTCTCCAATTTGTTTTTAAATACTGTATTGTTTTAAAACAATATCGTCTCAGTGATTCAATTAGTCTCTGAAAGCACTAAAGGCAGCCTCATGAGGCAAATTAGACAGGGTTTTTATAGTAGAATTAATATGGCAAATCCTTATATCATGTGGAGCTTTATGTGCTTGTAAATGTTAAAAAAAAATAAATATGAAAGGTGAACTCTGGAGTATATAGTGGAATTATTATCATCTGCTCCAGGATCTCACAGGGTCTGGAATTGCTATAGTATATTGGAAGCAATTATTAATTCACAGCAGTTCAGGAAAGCTTTCTGACCAAACCCAAGCTTAATCTCGTGATAACTCAACAGGAGTAAAGCACGTGCTAAAATTTAAGCTTTTAAGTTCTTTCCTGGATCAGGGCTGTCCTTCTGTTTAAATAACTAAAATCTGATGCCTGTGCACTGTTTCTCTTTGTATTCAAATCTAGATGAGGGATCCTACAAAGCCAAAGATAACTAGTTCTGAATGTATATAACATTCCACATGCATTTCTGTACAAGAACTCATGCAATATTGGCATTAATACAGACTTCACTCTATGCTACAGCTGAAATGCTCACTGACTTCTACTGCCCAGGCATTTCTACCTAGAAAATTGCTTCTTAAAAGTTGGGAGTTCGACCTCATACCCTGTTTTCTTTGTGGCTTCTGCTGGTTTAAATGGCTATTTTTCCCACTGAACAATTTATTTTAATTTTTTAGGCCTTTTCAAGGTCCCCCTAATTCCCCCTGAAGGAATTTCTGGGCTCAGCCCCACCACGGGATGATCCTTATGCAAAGAAAGCTGCATTCCCAAGGGAGAGCTGGCAGGATCAGGTTTTAGATGTGTCACCAGGTGCAGCTCAGGAGGAAGAGCTCAGTGGTTCCTTACTAATGCTCCACCAGGAAAAGCATCTCCAAATAACCAAACAGAGCTTTTGGCAGGAAGGAGAGGAATCCCTTCTCAACGACCATCCAAACAAAGGATCATTCCTCCCTTGGGATCCTTCCTCTTACACAAACTGCACTCACAGACACTGGGTGAGAGCATCTCCCAGTTTCCTTCCCTCCCACCAGCAGCTCCAGCAGCTCAGGCTGCAGAGAGCAGCCCAGGAGAGCAAAGATTTGGGATTCCTGGTGGATGTCCTGCACTGAGCAGCAAGAGAACCTGGATGGAACTGCATGTCCTGATTTATCTGAGGAAAGGTGGCAGGACAGGCTCACCCTGACTGTGACAGGAATGGCCTCTGTCCCCGTGTGACAACACCCTGAACTGCAGTTCCAGCCCATCCATGGCTACTGCTCGGGGTCCCTGGAAAGGCAGAGGCTCAGGGAGGGACTCTGACATTTCCACCAACAGAACAGGGGAGAGAGTAAAAGCATGTCAAATTATGTGTCCCACTAAAGCTTTCCCTAAGACAAAAGCTCTGGTGAATAATATTGTTATTAGCATTACCAAGGCCTTTGACATCCTTATGCTTAAGAAAGTCCTTTTTGCTCATGACCAATGTCTACAGTAGCACTCACAGGATTAAACAGCCAAAAATTAGCACCCATAACCAAATCTGCACCCAGAATATTTCAGCACCTTCTGTTAGAGGATCTGAAAGCACTTGACAAATGTTAGCCAACATTTGGCCTCACAACCCCCAGTGAGGTAGAACAGAGCTGTCCCTGCAGGGACAGACAGACAGATTGAGGCACAGGGTTACTCAGAGACCTGCTCCCATTCAGACACAAAATTCAGCAATGCCAAGGGCTGAGAGCTGTGCTGACTACTGCACCCAAGCTTTGTCCACAGCACCATCCTTCCCCCCACAAACCCTCAACACGAGCCCTTAGCCTGTGAACTAACCCCAGGATTCTATTTACAATATTTAAAATGACCAGTTAGCAGTTGTGCAGCCAGAGAGTTATTCAATCAAATGAAGCTATCAGTGAGAATAAATGGTTTCTTGTGCAAAACTCTGGGTGTAAATGATCATGCACTAACACTACCGGGTGCAAATTGGTGCATGATAACTCCGACCCCTTGACAATTCCCAATCCTGGCCTCTCTCTGATAAATCTCTTCTAAAAAGTTGCATTATAAGTATGATCACACGAGCCTTGAAAGATGCAGCCTGCACAGATTGTTTCACCCCAGCGATGCAAGCAAACAAAAGGTGGAGTGGCTTTGGGAACAACCCAGCATTCATGGAGCATCAAACATCAAAAGGATAAAATCCATCCTAATCACAAGGGGTTGCAAGGCAACAGGGAGTAGGTGTCTATGTTGGAAAAAAAAAAAAAAGGCAAATAGAGCAACAAAGAAAGACTTGATTGCACAGATTTCATTTAGGTAAAGTTCTGCAAGAATCAGTTTCATCAAAGCTTAGTCCATGAGGGAGGGAGGCAATGGCAGCTGGCCTGGGACAAAGCTTCGGCGCAGTAAAAACCACCAGCCCTGCGTGAGGAGATGAATTTTGCATTCTGGAGGAGGCATTTCTGATTAATAAAAGCAAAAGCTTTCTCTAAATACAGCGAGTTCGTTTTTCTCAGATAGAAGAGTTTCTTAAAATACGGGTTTCAGAACATCACAAAACTTCATTTGTTATATAAGTAGAGAATCTGGCCATAGTTAGGAATACTGAAGTGTAAAAAATCAAATACCTAGTTTTAAACATTACAAAAACTATCAAAACATTCAATATTTTGAATTGACCATTTCCCCCCCTACACGTGTCTGTTTTGGCAGCAATGACAAGATTTCTAAACTGAGTTGCTGTTATTATTGTTCTGCAGTTGTGGTTGGTTTTTTTTGTACTTTTTTTTTCTGAATGTGTTTTTTAAACAAAAGAAAATTACCAGCTTTTATAAAAAAGAAGGAGCTTGAATCCTTACTCCCAAAACACAGATACAAGGTTTTCCTCTATAAAAAGTGTATTGATTTTTTGCTATAAAAAGTGACCTATAGGGTGTCAAACCTGAAAACAAATTCTCACAGTGTTTTCAGTGTTGGCTGTTCACAAGGCATTACTGTTACAAACAGAGATAGAGAGATACCATAGGGGAGGTATAAATATTTGTTACCAGCTAGCAGCATCCTTGGATTGCATGTGGAAGGTGTTGTACTCCAGATAACTCAGCTGATTTATGGTTTTTTGCTTAATTATTAAAAAAAAACCCAAACCCAAACAGTATTTGAATAATTTGAATTATTGTACTAACCTTACTTAGCATCTGACACAATCACTCCTAATCTCATCCAAGCTTCTGCTGGCATATTAAGCATCAAACTAGAAATTCCCTTCCTGCCCTCCACAATAAAACCAAGACCAGTTGGAATGCAGGTGCCAAAAGTGGGGCTGTGAATGAGGAGCAGTGAGCTGGCAGAGGCTGGCAGTTTGCACTGGTGGAGAACATCATCTGCTCTGCTCCAGCTTGCAAATTGCTCAGCAAGGGCTCCATTTGCACACCTCCAGGGGAGCTACTCTACTAACACTAGGAAAACCACATGGCTGCAGCAGAAGAAGAAATCATAGAAGAAAATGGGAAATGCACGGAATCGTTGGCACGTCGGCCCCAAATTTCTCACAATGCCCATTTTGCACCCCTGTAACTCAGAAGAATGGTATCCCTCTATCTCTAAAGACTGGCAGGTGTTGGTTTGTGGCACAGAGAGGAGAAATCACAGAACAAAAATGACATTTAACCGTGTGTCCTTTGACTTGAAAGCACCAGTCACCTATCTGCTTGTTTTGGCAGAGGTACTTTGCCGTATCCCAAATGCAATATGGACATTTCGCTCCGTGCTGCTCTACATGGAGTCTCCAAGGGAATCCGAGTCATCCAAGGACAGAGGCAGGTACAAGTCCTGTAGGGAGAAAGGAGGAAATGTTAACCCTCACCACCAGCTCCCACCCTTGGCCACGCAGAAGGGAGCAGCTGAGTGTGCTCAGTTCTGGCAGCTCCGAGGGTGGAATGCACTGGGCTCACCACAATCCAGGGAGTTCCAGGCTAAAATCAAGGCAGGCTCCTTGCACAGAGGAGCAAGAGCATCTCTGTTCCTGATGACTGTTCCAGAAGTGTTTTTTTATTGTTCTGGATCAATGTGTCCATTCCAGCACATGCATGAAAGAGCAGCACCTTGCCTTAAACACATCTCTTTAAACCTAAGTCCACAATAAAGAGTCTTATCTTGGTTTGACAGCTGCCCTCAGGACAAATCTCCAGGAAAATCACATGTTCCATGGTTTATTCTCTATTTTATGTAACTTTTAATCAGTTGGAAAAGTTAATAAAGTAATCCCAAGTTTATTATTTGGATCAAGTGCTCAATGTAAAGCTTTTCCAGTGTCTCTTTCTGGAGTAACCATTTTATTCCAGTTGTTTACAGTTCTGTGTGGGACAAGGTACAGGACCCAGCTCAAGGGCTTAAAGCTCTCCTGGGATCTTATTGAACTCTGACACACACACAGAGGTTATAACTGTGAGCAAAATGAAGAAAACCCCAAATATTCAGGAAGGAAATTCACAGAAACCCTGATAAAAGAAGAGGTAAATTAGGACTTTGTGGTGAACTCAACCTAAGCATTTATCACTTGAGCTTTAAGGGGAAAAAAGAAAAGCGATTTCATCATGAGCAGGAAATTGCTTCTGGGAGAAAGACAATGATGCATGAATATTCTGGTAACCTAAAATGCTGCATTTGTGTTTTCTGATTGGCTTAACTTAGTGGAGAAAATCATAGCTGGGTTGGCTTTGCCCTCAGCAGTCACCATCTATTACAAATGGTCTCAGGGCTGCACAGGAAAGGTCATAAATCAGCCAGCTGAAAACATACATAAAACATTAAAAAGGTGAGCTTTACTTGTCTTGACCAAGGAACAAATTCTCATTTCCAAAGTTCTAAACGAGATGGAAAGTTTGGAAAATACCTTGTGCTGAAGCAAAGGATGCAGTTTGCAGCATTACTTCTGCTGAACTGATGAACTCACACCATGGGCCAAATTCTGTTCTCAATTATAAATTAATAATAAATCTGGAGACATTGTGTTAAATTTGGTATGTTTTCTCAGACTTAGAGAAGTTGAGAACAGAGTGAGATCCCTAGGAAAACACAGTTTTCATTTGGATTCAGCTCTGCCTTTGTTAAGCAGAATTAGTTCAACCCCTGCAATCTGGCCCATGGTGGGTTCCATGTGGCTGCTGACTGCAAAACCTCAGCACCACCAGAATTTTTTAATTATCCTTCAAAAACTTTGGGTCAATGCTTTCGAAGTCAGGCTGAGAGGAACATTCTGTTTACTCAAGAGAAACCCCCCAGACTTCCTCTCACACCTGCATTTGTGTCCAAGCTCCAATTCCTGTATCAAGTGAAAACTGTTGGAAGCAGCACTGTGGCTATTCCAGAAATGCAAAGGAAATGAAAGTCAGAACTCAGCACAGAGTGGCCCTGAATAACAGGAACTGAAAATGCTGTGACAGCTGCTGTACCTTTTAAATAAATCAATACATGAATTATCCATGAGCCAGCACAGGTTTCCTGATCTCTGCCAGGATGCTGTGCTACCTGTTGGCCACGCTGTTTGTGACCAGCTACTGTTCCACAACACATTTTCCACACCAGCTGTAAGAATCACCTGCTTCCTGTAAAACAGAGCATGGCTTTAAATAATTCAAAAAAATAAATTCTTGAGGAGCATCATTAAAGTGATGTCTTAGAGCTCCAGTAACATTTGCATTGCTTCTGCTGTTTAATGGGCCTGATTTGACAACACTTGAGGCTTTTCAGGACAGGAGGGTTTACATGAAACCACATCCATCAGTGATTTTTTTTTAAATAGTGGTACAAGCTCGTGGTTAAGTTGTCTCCTCTGATCCCTCTGGATAGTCTCCAGCACACATCAGCAACTCCAGGGGAAGAGTCAGGCCAGTGCTTTGCTCACCACCTTGCCCAAAAGGACAACTTTTACAGGTAAAGGGCCAAACTCCACTGTTTGAACATCAGGAGTTGCTGTTATCCTTCCAGAGGATATGGCCATGGCTCCAGTGTCACACAGATCTGAGGGGCTGGGCCAGAAGGAGGTGTAGTAAGGTATAAGAAACGTAATACCTTGTGCTTACGGAGGCTCCCTGGGCTGGTGGGTGTGGAGATCGGGGACTGCTTGGATTTGGGTGTGGACAGCTGGCTGCTGGAGGTCCCGTTGGCTGGCAGAAAACAAGACACAAGCTGGAAATCAGGCAAGCAAGCAAGGGGAAGATTTTTCTCCTTTGGGGAGATGGAAGGTCTCCAAACATTTAACACCATGGTTTATTCATGTTAGGCAGGAGAAAAAAACCAAAAAAACAAAAAACAAAAAACAAAAAACCACAAGCAAACAGCATAGCTATAAACATAACTCAAGGATTTCAGCTGCTCAGGGTGAAAATACAGCTGCAAAAGTTTCAGCTGCAAAATACGGTGAGATCCGAAATTAATTGAGGGAGCAATATTTCACACAACAAATATTCACCAAGTCGATCCAAGGCACACATCACCAGAAAAACAGAAAGAGAATTTCTGTGTTCTCAAAGTGTTTAAGGGCATGACTGGGAACCAGAGGCTGAAGATGTCCTGGATCCTACACAAGCAATGTCAGATGTCAATTATACACATTAAAAATTAGACAAACAGCAGCCTGGAATGCCCTGGCTGTAGTTTTCTATGGGTGGGATTAAGTGACCTAAGAGCCTGATGGAATTATGCTTTCAGTTTCAACAGCTGGGTCTGCAAATCAGTTACTCAAAATTCATCAAGTACTTGAGTGTCTGGAGGAGACTGAAGAAGTGTATAAAGGATCATAGAATAAAATGTGTGAATGTTGTATTTTTGAGAGTAAAACCAGAACAGCTCTTGCTTTTATGCCTAAGAAACCTCACTCTTCTTCTCTGTTACCTCCTTGTGAGAAACAGGGATAGTTCAGGTTTGCAGCAAAGGCAGAGGTCAAAGAGGTGTGAAAAGAAACCTGTTCTCAAAGCCACGGGACAAAAGAGGAGCTGCCAGCACGTTGAAGTAGCTCGGATGCAACAAATTCATGGTGGTGTGGCTCCTCTGCCTTCACACCCATCATTTCCATGCATTTCCTCCTTTTTTGGAAGAAGTTATTCATCACAGCTTTTTTCCCCCATCACAAATGCACCTTGCTGAGGAAATGGATATTTTTAAAAGATGGTAGAAATAATGATTTCTAGATAATTGGGGAACAGAGTGACCCTTCACCTCCCTATCCCACTCAGACCATTCTTTATTGATGGGGGAGAAAACCTGTTCTGGAAAGGCAGAAGCTGTTTCCTGCTGGCCCCTGCACTGAGCTGTGCCACTCTACAGCATGAGCTGCCTCCAGGCTGGTGGGGAAAAACAGTAGAGTTCTCTAACTATATGCCAAATAATGAAGGCAATTCAGTAAAAAAGAACTTGGATCTCTTTTATGTTTTATTTCACTGAGTGAATTTGTGTTTCCTATTAAAGAAAATGTGGGGAACAAGAGGACTGATATAATCTCCATTAGCTAGAATCCATTTCCAATTTCTAAAATGCCTGTTTCTTTATCTCCAATTGTCACTGATCCTTCCTAAGCTGAAGAATGTCACCTAAGACCTCTGCAAAAACCCCAATTTCCCTTCCACAAACAAGACTGGAACAACAGCAGAGCCAGTGTGCAGCAAAATGGATATAATTGCTGCAGGGCAGGACAGAAATTCCCTAATACAATGAGAGTTTTAAGTGCTACAGCAGGCAGTAAATATTTTATGAGCATCAACAAAAAAACAGATGTGACATCCAAATCAGAAATGGAATGAGATGGATGGATGGTGTTACAAATACAGCAGAATTCTGCACCAGGAGCAACAATGAAGAAGCCCAGTTTAATTTTCTCTGCCTGCTAATGAAGAATAGTGTTCATAAGGAAGCTTGCCTGCATTTCCTTTGAAATGAAATGCAAGAAAATAACAGGAGGCAAAGAGCAGGTCCCAGCTGGTGCATAACACTGCTGCTCCACTAAAATCTGCTGATGATTTAGGGTAGCTCAGGATCTCACCTACACTCAGCTATTAGGAACTGTTCTTTAGAACCAGCTTTCATTTCAATTCTTTGGGCTTTTCCCACCATTTTATTCTTTGTGCATTTTGGCTTATTCGTGGCATTGTATTTGCTCGGCAACATCAATTTACCTTAAAGTGTAGAGAATGTCATATCCTTTAATTGCAGGAGCAAGTAATCTCTACAGGATCCTCACCTCCCCCCAGGCACGAGGCAGTCTGTGCTCAGGAGAGAAATCAGCCTTGTCCAGCACATGGGAGGGAGGATGGAGAACATTCCTGTCATGTTTGAGGTGGGAGATCCAGGTAAACTGAATTCTCTGTCTGCTTTTCCCCCACAGCTGTTTCAGAATCACAGAATGGTTTGGGTTGTAAGGGATCTTAAAGCTCATCCCATTCCATCCCCTCTCATGGGCAGGGACACCTTCCACCATCCCACATTGCTCCAAGCTCCATCCAACCTGGCCTTGGACACTTCCAGGGATCCAGGGGCAGCCACAGCTTCTCTTGGCACCCTGTGCCAGGGCCTCACCACCCCCACAGCAAAGAATTTCTTGTTAATACCTAAACCTGCCCTCCTTCATCTTCAGTCCATTCCCCCTTTGTCCTATCACTCTATGCCCTTGTCAAAAGTCGCTCTTCAGCCTTTTTTAGGCCCTTTTTAGCAAGGTTTATAATATGGAATTGTTCCCTGAGTGTTACTTAGGTTTGCTGGGATGACTGGGGCTCTGGTTCTGAATTTCCAGTGCTGATAAGCACCAAGACCTGCAAATGAGGTGAGCGAGATCCATCTTTTGAACTCATGTTTCTGTCCACAAACAGAAATGGAAAAAGCAGGACCTGAGGTTCACAGTGAGTGCTCAAAATGTGTGGAGATAGATATTTCTACTTGTTAAATAAGGTTAATAATCTGTGCTTGATTGGGGTTTCCAGCATTCTGCAAATAAGATCCCAGTCTGAGGAGCTCGTACAGCACAAGAGTGAGAGGAAGGACTGTGAAATCCATTGGTAGTTTTGTCTGCAGGTCAGGGTTTGAAGTGCTACCAGGAAAATAAGGAAAGAGAAGCAAAACAAGGACAGCAGGAAGAAAATTTAGAAATGGCAGCTTGTTCAGAGAGCATGAGCCTTCCTGCCCTTCAGGACAGAAAACAAAGCCTCAGGAGTGGAAGAACTCAGATTGCACAGGCATCCTTTGCTCAGGCACCTCCAAACCTCCAGGCACTCAGCTCTGCAGTGCTGGCACCCTTTTCCTTGTGTTTGGTGAGGGGATCTCTCCTGGGTGTGCCCCATGGGCTGGCAGTGAGCAGGACACAGCAGGGGACAAGCAGGGGACAAGCAGGGGATGAGCAGCTCTGTCCCGTGTGCCATTCCCCAGACTTCTGCTGCCTTTGGACACACTCATCTATAATGACCCCTGGGAGCAGCCCTGCAGCCAGGACAGACGGACACTGGGTCTGTTTGCTAATTGCTGCTGCCTGGTGAGTGTGCTTTTGTCCCTCTGTCCATTAGTGGACTAAGACTTTAAGGTCCTGCACAGCCTCAGAGCCCTGCTCGTATTCTCCCTGAGCCAAATCAAGGCAAAGACATTTTCAAATTTCAGTTCAGGTACCTGCAACCCTGTCTTGGTTTTAAAAATCCTAAGTTCTCCTCTCACAGCACATGTTTTTATACAACTGAACCCTTGTTTGGTATGTCAGTTAGTGTAAGATAAATTCATGTTTTTATAACAAAAAAAGAATGGCAAATGACGTCATTATTTTCTCTCCTGTATTTCTCCCCTGAGATTTAGCTCTGGCTTTTGCTTAGTCTGACTCCTTATTGGAGCAGTCTGTTCAAGAAATTCTGCCAAACTTCATGCTGACCCTACTCCATTTAAATCTCATGGATCAGAGCAGAAGCACAGAGACTTCTCTCCCTATGCTCAGTTTTCCTCTGTCTTGTTAGGAGAAGGAATTGGATGGTGCCTTGCAGGTGTGGTTTAGTATGGATTCCACTGCTCTAAGCTGTGTCTTTTAGCAAAGCTGACTCCCTAGGAGGAAAATTTGAAGCTAGAAATACATGGAAGCTTTGGAACTCCAATTTTGCCAGAAATCCACTGGCATTGCTTAGGAAGTAAAGATGTGGGTTGGGATTAGTGAAGGAAGGGAGAAAGGATTTCCCTTGGGAATACAAGGATTGGGGTGTGTTCCCATCCCTTAGTGCAAGACACTTCTTTGTTCTGCATTCACTCATTTCATTTTCATTCATTCATTTAAATGACTGCATGGTGAGAGAAAAGCACCGTGCCAAAAAAAACCCAATGTTTGAATTGCTTCTGTGGATTTGCTACCTCACTTTTTTGGATATCCTGGGAGCTGAAGTGCTCTGCTGCCTAAAAGGATTGAACTTTTCACACTGAGGCCCTGACACCTCACTCTGAATTGGGTTCAGACTCCTCTCACCCAAAGATTTACCTCCAAACCTGCACTGACATCAGTACCCAGATATGTCACAATGGCCTTGGAGACCTTGGTGGGAAAAAAAAGATACAGAAACCTACACAGAAAAGAACTGGAAAGAACAGAAACAACACAAAACCAAGAAAACTCTCATGAATTTCCACATGACAACCACAGCAGAGTGAAGGACAACAAAGACAAAAGGTAGAAATGGGTAGGAGAGTACACACATAGCAGAGATATTGCATATATTTGAAGTAAAACTCCTTTTAAATAGTTTTCATGCATTAAATGCGTGAGATTCTGTGGGGAAAAAAATAGGTCAGATCATCTTTTATTAATCAGACTTCATTCAGCTTTCTTTGCTTTTTGAATGTGATAACTGCAAAATCCCATCTAAATGTAAATATTGATTCTTAAAAGATGTGTAAATCCACTTAATTTATTACCAATTCAATACAAGAACACAGAATGGTATTCTTTCTTCTCTCTGTCCTGAGAAAACAAGAGTCTTCTATTTTCCAGTAGTGAAAGAGCTCAGTCTTTTTCATTCTTATTAAGCAGGACAAGTGCCATTTTTTCCTTTATTGAAATTACAGGAAAGCACGAAAGACTCTTGTCTGGACAGATTAAAGAAACCTGATTTGCTCTTCATTACTGACCTTAACTCCAGGAACTGGTTATTGTTCAGCCTTTCTGGTTGTTTTAATCTCCCTCTGAAAAGCTCTGCTAAGTGTGTTCATTAAAGCTCATCAGATGAGTCACCATCCTGGGCCTGGAGTCGCTCAGTCAGTTAAAATCAGGCACACAATAATTGCCATTTCATATTAAACTCTATGTTCATGCAGTAAACTCTGGTTCTGGTGGGAATCAGCACCTGATGCTTGTGGAGAAGGTTCAAAGCTGCTGACTCATGCATGAGCTGACTCCCACATCACTGAATGTTACTTCAGGGTTTTTGTAAATCAACATCACGTTTCCCATTGTGCCTCCAGTGTGCCTAAACAGCTTTAGCAGGCATTTGGGATTGTGAAAGTGTTAAATTATGGCAAGCCTGAGTTTGAGAATAGCCAACAATGGAATTGTGAAGAAAAGCTTTATGAATGCAAAATCACCTTAGAGAGAAATAATTTTTTAAAAAATACAGTCTTGGCATGTGCCAACCAATTTCCCACTTCTCTTTAGGTAGCTGAAGAACACCCACACATCCTACACAAATGAACTGCTTCCTGGGAAACCCTTCTGACTACTGCCAAGAAATTTTTTTATCTAATAATCTATTTCTGCTGATGGTCAGCTGTTGTGTGATGTTCCCATGCAATATGCAGCATGTCAGCATGATGGTGAAAAGGAATTTCTGGTTTATATCACCTGTGTTGATGCTGTGGGACACCTGAACTCAAGCTGTGAAGCTCTCCTGGAATTCTGACATGTTTTATTGACGACTTGGCCATTTTAATGAGAGGCCGTGTCTGGTTCTCTTTTGGAACACAACAGGCAGGTGGGTGAGAGATCAATCAAAACCCCAGAAACTCTCCATGACTCTACAAACTATCAATTACCAGAGTTACTGAATTTGCAGCCCAGCCTTGGACTGACAGCTCTGCAGCTCTCCATGTGTGCTACTGAAGAAGGAGGGAGGCATTTCAAACACTGCAAGCTGCTGCAGTAAATTAGGATTCCCATTTTCCTTCTCTTCCATTACTGAATGAGTGTCTCAGTGTCCCATCAATAAACCCATCACCAGTTCTGCAATTTCAAGGTCACTGATCTCCTTTGAATGATGATTGTAAGGAGCCACTCCTGACCTGTGCAATAATCATCATTGGCTTTGCACAGGAGGTTACCCTAAATCACTCTGTATCTACAGGGACCATCTGGGAGCACTGTGGGCCCTGATTTCAGAGATTATGAACTTCTTTTAAAATATTTCTGTGGAAGGAGGCTGTGAGACAACTCAAGCCACAACCTGGGGACCAAGCGCACCAATGGGGATTTGCACTAACGGGAAATTCCTTCCCAATATTTATTAAGCACCCCTGTAGCTGCTTATTTCCAAAAGACACCCAAGTTTCCTTTACAAACACAGGGAGTTTGTGCTTTTTCCCTTGAGCAGAGTGAAGCCCAGACAGCAAGAAACAATCACTCACCATCTTGGTGGTTACCTGAATCGGCCGGGGACTTGCTGCGGCGCATGGGCGCGGGGCTCTTGGCCGAGCTCTTCTGAGGGGTGGGGGAGGATTTGCTGCCCGTGGCACCTGCTGGGCTCCCCTTCATCACCCGGCACTCTGGGGAAACACAGACACACCTGGTTATGTTTCTTGCCCTCCCTGGTGAGAAGCAGCCATGGGCCAGATCAGTGCCTGGTCCCCAAAGAGATGTAGTCCTGTCCAAAGATCTGACAGGAAGGTCTCACAGATGTTATGTATAACAGAAATGAATGTAGAATTTGAAGAAAGAGTAGAAATAATAGCAAGTTTTGACATAGAAGAAAAGAATTGCTGAGCCAGTCTTACTGGATAACTAAGAAGGCCAAAGGTATGTTAGTATGTGAGTTGGAAGGGGCTTTTATGGCTTAGAGCAAAGGATAAATCCACTTCAAACAGAAGATGTTTTTACTGAGCAAAAAGATCTTCACAGGCAAACAAAAAAGCTAATGTTGCAAGCAGAAAAAATATCTCAAAATTTTTCCATTGCCAGAAAACTGAAAAACAACTTCTAGCTTAAACTGTAACATAATAACTTTTATAATTGGAAAATAGTAACATGAATACGGTAATGTCAGTAGTTATGATAGGCTATAGTAAATAGTATGATAGGCTATTACTACTATAGTATAGTAATAGTAAAAGTATTGATTGGTTGTCATGTTTTAAGATGCTCTGCAATAAAAAGTATATAATGCATTGTAACCAGAACTAGAGTTGGCTTCAGACAAGCCTACAGCTGTGACTGAAAAGATTTGGGCTGGGCTCTTGTCACCCACAACCCGTGAATTGCTGTATCCTCTGGATACAAGAAACAGCATTTTAAATAATAAATAAATTGCTCTATCCTCTGGATACAATAAACAGCATTTTAAAGAGCAACCTAAAGTCCCACATCCCTCATTTCAGCTCTTACAATGCAGAAAATACGAAGGGCAAGGGAAAAGCTGATTTCATCCCTTGTTCTCCAGGGTGAAAGGAGACTCTTCAAGGGGAGGGCAAAGAGAACAGCTCTGCTCCTCTAGAGGAGGTGCTGAGACTCTGTGGGTGTCAGGCTGGCTCCTACCTGTGTCCTACCAAACATTTTCTGCCCTTCCCTTTCCCTTGGCTCTCATGAGCACAATGAAAATGGTCAACAGTGACTGAGGGAACACTCAGGCCAAGAAAATCCAGTTAATTTGCTGTAACCCTGCCATGAAAACCCGGTGACAGGAATGATGAGTGCCCTTTCTGCAGGTGCAGGAACAGCTCATGGTGTGCTGTGAAGTCTCCAAGTGGCAGATGGGGCAGCTGCCCCAGGAGGCTTTCACCCAGCTGGAATCAGCCTCTTCTGTCTTCAACAAGCTGCAACTTTTCAGATGCAGAAAGCAAAGGAGACAAAATGGTTTTACAAAGCACATCCTCCGTCCTGGCCACTTGTCCCTTTCAGCAAGGTTTGTATAAACAAGCCCAGGAGATTTATGTGCTGGAAGACGTGAGCAGATGAGAACCCCAACTGTGCTTTCCTAAAAAATAAATAGGCCAGGAAGAGTGGAAAATGTAAACATGATCTACAGAGTCCTGCAGAGGGGAACTGAAATGCTAACAAACCTCCACGTGTCCCAGGATTTCAGGCATGCCTGATCTTCAAAACCAGCCTTTATTTACACTGAGAGCTCACAGAAAAAGAACTTCCCACCCCTCAAGTTATTAACTTAACCCAGTTAAGAAGAAGGCAATAAAAAAGGGATTTCCTCTTTGTCAAATGTTAGCTGGTCCCACCTCATCTCCTCCAACAGCTTGTCCTCACCAAGATGTGAAAAATGTGTCATTTTCACAGATGTGAATTACGTGTTCCACATGCAGGCAGATTTTTATGGAAAGTTTAGCTCAGCCCCACATGCTCCACACTGAGGACCCCTGGAATGGAGTCCCCAGTGGAATTAAGGCAGCACAGAGCAGATAAATAATTGGTCAACCAAAAGCAAGCTGTCTGGCCTAAATGTACATGTTATTTAACTATATATCAGTGTATCTACGAAAATGTAATTGCCTTAAATTTTTCCCCAGGCTTTCTTCATTCTCAGCCAGCCAAGGATCCATCTCTGCTCCTTCCAGATGGTTTGAGAGAGAGTTTTGCTGCTGGGCCATGCAGCACAAGAATGTGAGGAGAGGGCCTTGTGCTCCAGGGGATGCTGCATGGCAAGAATTAAACCCACAGTCAGCTTATTTTGTCTCCTGCTAAATCAATTTTGGAAATTGTAAATCAGGGATAGAAAAAGTTGTGGGTTTTTTCCTTCAAAAATAATTAAATTTTCACAGATGATGTCACAGAAAGGCTTGTGGAGGTCCAGCACCAACACAGCCCCATTTTTTTATACATGAAGAGCAGTAGTGATGTCGTGAGGGGGCTCAAATGATGTCAGGCAGCTGTGTTTAGTCACCTGAACTACTCACTAAAAAAAATAAACTAAGAAGTAAAAATATTTCATGTTAGGTCTCTGCAAGAGCTTCCAAATTTATCTTCTTCTCAGGGGAGTAATTCCTTGGAAGGAAACCTGGCTTTGCATTTTCCAGCACAGAAAGGCTGACTCTGAGGAATTCCTCCAGCTCAGCCCTTGGCAAGTGTCAGCACACCAGAGGCAACCCCTGAGCTTCTGCAGGAGGTGGAAACCTGGCTGGGCTGAGGCTGGGGTAAAAAGGCCTCTAAATATCACCAAAGTGTGACATTTCCAGCATGCTGAAAGCAGTGGGTACAAAAGGGACAGAGCAATGTCACCTGGAGGTGCTCAGCAGCAGGGATTAGAGGGTGGAAGCTGTGCTGGGCAGCCAGGAGGAAAGAGATGACATAATCCTCTCTTGTGCTGTTTCTCTTTTTGTTTCCTGATGTCTGCCAGAGTGAACATAATAACCAGCAATCCTGGTGTGTGTCATCCAAACAGGCAAGAGAAATTTCCCCGTGACAGAGGAGATTTTAGTGATGTCTTGAGGAGCTGGAGCAGAGGCTACACACAGTGTTGAGGAGAATAAAATGGGTATTTATTGTGAGGCCTACAAAGCCACACCCCAGCAATATCAGTGCCACAGTGGTGGCCCCTGCCTGGATGGCTCCAAGATGGAAGCAAAGGAGGGGTTGGTCACAAAATCTTACACTTTTATAGGTTTTGGTTCATTTGCATGAACCCACCCTCCACCTTTCCACGGAGTTTGTGCTTAGGGCCTGAAGTTTGGCGAAACTGTCCTTGAGTTCTTAACTGGAATAGGACTGTTCTGTCTTCATCACCCCAGCACATCAGAAAAGCACATCCAAGGAGAATAGGAAAACTTCAAACTAAAGGCATCATTTGTAAGTGACACTCATCTGCAGAACCTCAGGATTCACAGCTCTTCTGGAATGAGGAAAGGTGATGGGGGTTCAGTGGGAATGAGGTGCTGAGGCTCCTCCTCTTCCTCAGAGCTGCAGGGCTCCCCTGGAAATACCTCTGGAGCTACTCACTGCCTTCCCAGCAGCAAACTTGGCTTCTTTCTGCTGGAGGAGTGAGCAGTGAGCAGCAGTGAAGGCAGAGAGCTGGGCTTCCCATCCAGTTGTTCTGCCAGGACTGCATCCAAGCTGTTTTCCAGCGTGGAGCTCCCTGTGGAGCTGACTCAACTGCTGAGTGGCAAAAAACAACGTGAAGCTCAGCTTACAGATCACTTCCCCAGCCTGACACAGGCTTCATTCTCTGCCTGCAAAGTCTCAGCTGAACCTTGGAAGCTTTCTTTGAATTACCCAAGACCATCAAATGGGTTCATCTGGAGTGCACAGGTCAGAAGTACCAGCACTAAAATAAAATCAGGCTTGCAAAGGAGTAATGAAAAAACACAGGGTTTGGAGATTAGAGGCTGCTTGACTTCCTGGCATCCAGCAAAAATCTCTTTGGTCCTCAATACAGAGTTTGCAGCATATAGGACAGGGTGGGGCTAGTGTTCCTTATACAGCACACCTAGAGCTCTGGGAAGTGAGCCTAGATACTTGGAGACTACATTTTTTAAAGTTTAATCGGTTAAAATGACATTAATTTCCTCTTGCTACACTCACTGGCACCTGCAGAGAGGTGGGTACAGTTGGGTGGTAAGTCCTACAAGCAAGCTCTGTATATTCTGTAAAATAAAAAATTTCATGGCTTAATTGATCACAGGAACTCACAGACTTCTGCTGGCAATGGTAACAAGGAAAAATAACAGTGCTGTCCCAGTCATGCCCCCAAAAAGGGAATTACTGCTCTGTTTTTTGAATTAGCAGAAGTAAGCAGTGGAAATGTGATTTTTTTTTTTTCCAACTGTTGCTTGTTTCCATTTTTAATATGCACATGTCTACATAAGGATAGTTAGTTCTCAAGAAAAATGTATCTATCTGACTGTGACTGGAGAAAATTGTAAGTATAAACACTCCCATATTTTGCAGTAAATGTCAAAATGCTGTAGGAATTAATTTATTCTGACTTGGGCTACCTCAGTCAGTATTTGCCTGATTATAATACTGCTGACTGGATAAGTATCACAAAAGGATGTTAAATTCCATGTACTGGGTCTTAAAAACCAGAACAAAAGCATGCAGCATCATTATCAGATACGAGCAAGTGAATGGAAATGAAATAAAACCACAATGTGTGTTTAATGTTACCACTTTCATCCAGGGAAAAGTCATCCTGTGCATAGCGGAATTTTTCTGGACCACAGGCGATAAACACATCATCATCCCCAAAGAAATCGTGCAGACAGGTCACCTACAGAGAGAGCAAAGTCATTCATTTTATTTTTAATTGGCAGCATTCTGATGTGGCCCAGCTTTTGCTGAGGCAGAAGGGGGCTCTGCCTCTCTGCTGTTCCCCCACCCCATGGTCCTGCTTTCCACAGGGCTGGTGCTCATCACACAAATTCCCAGGGCAAATCAAGCCTAACAGAGTCATTAAAAAAAACCAAAACAACAGAACAGAGATAAAAATCCCAAACAACTCCCTTGCAGGTTCTTGGAGGTTTGGCATTTCCCACCCAGCTGACAGGGCACATCAGTCACCCAAAGGAATGACACAGCGACTTCTAAAATAAGAACAGAGGTGCCCCCGTGCCACACTGGCAGGGCTGTGACACCACTGCCTGTGCTGGGGCTGTCTTGGTACCTACAGAGCCTAAAACCTCAAAGAATCACTGGGTTTAAGCACAGAGATGTGACTCCTCCTGAGCAATCCTGATGACAAATTTTAAAGCCAGAACATTCATCTGTGCTATGGGTAGAAAGACCCAAAGTATTACAGGACAACTTTCCCAGCCCAGCACCATTTAAATCCAAATTTACTGCAGGTGTTGTGCCAGCCTGTTCCTCACTGAGTGCCTTGTTCTCCTCCTTTTTGCCATCCTCAATAGGAGGAAGATGTGGGAGCCCCAGATCCACTGATTTAATCAGAGAACTGATACCTGGGAGTTTGGAAATGTGAAAGTGCATACAGGTTGCTGGGAGAAAAAATTTAAATCCCATCATGCTGGGAGCTCCTCCCCATATTCAGCTGGCAGAGATCTACAGATGATGGACTTGCTTTAACAATTCCTAACAATATCCTGGTATCCCAGACACATGCTGACCAAATATTGTGTCAAGAGCAGCAAAAATGCTCATCTGGAAACACCCCAGTGTGGAACAGCTCCAGCAGAGCCAGCCTGGGGCAGCCACACATCTGAACACCCAGCAGAGCCCAAGGTGGCTTCCCAAAGCTCCACTTTTCCAGGAAACCATTCCAAGCAAGCACAAGGTCAGCACTGGTGTTTATAATGGAGTGTTTTACTGGGAGGGACTGGAGAGAGCACTGCAGATAACCATGGGCAGGGAAGTCACTGCAGGCAGAGCTGAATTTCTCTATCTACTGATCTCTTGGAGCTGGACTGTGAAAAGTTAATTTCAAGCTCTAATAAATCAACTCTAAAGAAGGCTTTTGGCTATCTTAATAAGGCTCAGTATTTCACACTGGTTAGGATAATGTATAATTAAAGCACTGCCTGTGAGTGCCAGCACTGGTTATGATGCCAAACCTTAGTGAAAAGCCTGGTTTTCACATTGTCATGACTTTCAAAATGGAGCAGGCTGAAATCTGCCCTGGCTTTGATCAGAGTTAGAATTTTCTCTGCTAACTCCAGTGAATTCCTATTTCTGATTGCCTAAAATTAGATTGAAAATAGCTAACTTCATCTGTAGAGAATTCTCCCAAAGAAAAGATGACATTTCAAACCAGTACTTGGTACTACAGCCCTCCCCCCGAGGATGTGTGGCACCGATTCATTTGCAAATAATTGGGTTTGGCTCAACACAGAGTTCCCATCTGAATGCTAAGTACTCCACTTGTGCCACTGAAAAGACCCATGGGTTGCTCTGCTCCACTGTGCAGTTAAATCTGTGATCTTAAGTTGGATCAAAAGGCTTCAAAAATTTCCCAGCCTTTTGCATGAAATCAGAAGGAGCCCACAGATGTTTTTGTTGTCTCCAGTTCAGAAGTCCAAGTGTGGATTTTGTCCCTGACTGCCCACAACCTCCCCAAGTAAAAAGAAAGTCCAGGCAATCAAGAAAATCTTCAGCTCCAAGGGTCCAAACACGATGGAGGAGAAGTCCCAGCGTGTCCAAGGACAGGAACCTGACTGCATTTCAAACAGAGATACTTGCAATTCACTTTTCTGCTTTCCTGTCCCTCCAGAGAGCAGTTATTATGTGGATTTTATAGTTATGAACAGCTGGCTGAGCACTGGAGCTGGTAGAGAATTAAATAATCTACTTGCTGAACTCCAAATATTCAGGAAACAATCACTTCTGTATTTGCCTGATTTGTTCCTTTTTGGTTTCCTCTTGTAACTTCCACTACTAAGAGCTCACCACAACATAGTAGAAAGGACAGCCAAAACCCAGCCCCACTCTACTTAAATAGTGCAAAACATTGCAAAATTCAGAAAATTACTGGGGTCCTGTGCTTATGTTCACCACGTGTGTGGTATTTTCTATTTACCTTTTGTTTATTCAACTCCAGTCCTTGATCATTGCTCTGAGTCCCTGAAACACATCCCAGATGGGCTCCTGTCCACAGGAAGTCACTGGAGTAAACTTTCTTTGGGAAAAAAAGTGATTTCACTGCTGGGTCTGAGAGCACACATTGTCTGAGGGGTGAGTGGAGAAAAGAAACTCCACCAGGATGTGCTCACCCCTGAAGGACACGAAGCTGGGGAGTGGGGCCATGCTGGGATAACTGGTTTGGGACCTCCTGAACCAGTATGGAATGTTTAAGGGTTGTTCTTGACAGGCAAGGCCAAACCTCTACCTGCAGTAATGTTGTAGAGGGTTTTAGTGACTCCCAAATAACATTATTGGTCTTCTCTCCATCC